AAGAGTAGCGGCTGAAACGGGTCCCGCTTGAGACAACGAAAGGGAACAATTAGCGAAGTCTTACCCCAAGCTTGAGTGCAACGACTCGACGACTCACGAGTTTAGGCTCCTCCGATCCTTACGTCCTCTCGTCCTCATAGATGTACCGCGTCCAGATCAATCCTTTGTCCTTCCTCTAACTCTTGGAAAATGGCCAACAGAGAAGGAATAAGCACGTATGAGGAGGATGAATCGAGTATATCACTGTATATCGTGACCGTGCATCGTACACATTATCCGTGCACACACTCGCGAAAATGTACATATATATATATATATACATATATATATATACGTACGTATGTACATGTACAGGTAGTTCGAGTATCCTGTCCGGTCGAACGATCGATCGTGGGGTCGTGGTTTAGATCGAGACGATCCCTGGTTCAGGGCACGGGTCGCGGCCGATTGACGCGGCTGACGTCACGGGTACCGATTCACGACTCTCGAGGGTAACGGAGAAAGATCACGAGCAAACGAAGAAACGATGGAAAAGCGTGGACGAGGAGGCCCGTAGGGGAGACAGAGGCGAGCGTATAGGGTGGCGAGCAAGCGAGCGAGCGAGCGAGCGAGCGAGACTTGGTGGGAGGACGAGCGTGCGAATCGATCGGCAAAACGCGCGATGGTGCGGCCAAAAATTTCGCGTGACGAGTAAACGCAGAGGCTACGAGCAGCACCTCCTGGCTGAAATCAATAAACGCCGATCAGGACCACCGTGAGATCTCCTTCCGAAGCACACGCGACGCGGAGAGGATACCTCCTTCCTCGCGATGGATCCCTCTCCCAAAACACTCTCCTCCAGGATTAACTTTGCTCGGAGAACTTGGTTCCCCTCCGATTGTATACGGATAACGTAAAAAATCGTATGGGAAAAGGAAAGTTCCAACTTGCTCCTTCGGGCCGATACTGACCCCGTGCACGACGACGACGACGAAAAGGACGAGCCTCGTCTCGTAACTTCCTCCGCCTTTCTTCCGCCTGCTCCTCTCGTCTAGCCACCGGCACCACCACTTTGCACTGCTGGTACGAGGAAGCAGCGACACCGTGATATACGCGACCGATAATATACTGCAACGAGCGAAAGACACCGGTTTTACGTATACCGTTGAACGATATGATATACGGTATAATATGGTCGTAGGGGACAGTTTCGCGATCTTTTCTTCCTTCTTTTATATCTCCCTGTCGCGCAAAATAATTTTATTAAAAGCGGTCTGCGCCTTTGCGAAGGAACGACGAAGGAGGAACGACTGCCCTACGAGACCAGTGTATACGTTCCTCCTTCTCCCTCCTCTCTCCGCCCCTTCTCGCGCTCCCACCCGATCCGTACTCCATCTAGATCTCTCGTCGGCCGTTCCGGAGGCTGGTGGCGCGCATGCGCGGCCGCGTTATCCTTTTCTCTCGCTCTCACCCACCCGCATCGCGCGCGGCCGTACAGGGAATGAGGCTAGTTTCCACCATCGCTCCATCCCACTCTGGCAGGCTCTCCTCGTGCGACGTTCAGGCCACATCGATGCTTCCGGACACGGGGGAACGAGCGTTTCGCGCCTCCACTGTTCTTCCACTCGGCCATCCTCGTCGGCGTGCGAGGACGTCTGCGCACTTTATCGGGCTAGGACGAGGCGAGGATGGAAGCCTCCTTCGGGATCTGGCGCACCTGTGTGCCCTTTGCCCGCGACCTACTCG